CCCCAATAGAAATCTAATATTAAATCCAAGCCCTGAAGTAGCCAAATTGCATCACAGTCAGTCTGTGTTTTGTCAGCAACAGCGCTGGTACTGGTAAGTATTTCTGTTTTGCACTGCATGCTACAGTAGTTATAGCAACAGTACTAATGACCCTGTAAATGCTTCTGGGCCATTTTGCACACTGCAAGATGACGATATAGAAATATGCATAAGTTATTTTAAACTAGAAAAAGCAGACCCAAAATATTTTGTTGATGACATGACTAGAGACCTAGAAAGTTCTAAAGAAATTTGAGATGAGAACTAAATGTTCTGATTCCCATCCACTTCTCTAACCACTGAAATGTATTCACAAATCTTTTGGGAAGAACACTACAGATTTTAAGCCCTCAAATCAAGATCATGTCTGCAAAACGACAACAATATTGACTTACTGATTTTTTACTTGCAGAAAAGAATAAATATATTTTTTCAAGAGCTTTCATAGATGAATAGAAAATGTATTTTCAAAACAATCTCTATGTGACAAAAAATCAAAATAAATTTAATTGATCATGAATTGCAGGAGAGAGAGATCATGAAGTTCCTTGAGGTAATGTCCTGATCTCTTTGGGCCTGCTCTTGAAAAGTGAAAAGTGTCTGCACTGGCTTCTGTAATGTTTCATAAGGTCCTATCAAAGCTGACAATCAAGTCATTCTCAACTTGTGTAGATGCAATAGCTGCCCTCTGTGAAAGAAATATTGACTGATACCATTAGCAATAAGGAAGCTGTACTATACACTGAATATGTAATTTCGTTTTTAAAGTTTAGCACCATAAGATTCAGATTTTCAGTTCAGCTGACGTGAAGCCCTGATTGAGGCGTTCAGCTCAGCACGAAGAACTAGCACGCAATGAGAAATTCTTTGTTGGTAATCCAGCCACATCTCTCTCCAAGCTATTTTTGTTACTTGCCAGGTAAGCATAAATTTTGCCTCCTTCATGTCCATGCTCATGTTCTAGCTCTGCCTAGGCTCCTCCACAACCAAGCTTCACCACTGTTCTTATCCAAATCTAGTTTTACCAGTATGACTTTTGTGGGATTATGTTTGTTTTAGTTTCTGCTGAAGGGAAGCAATATTGATCTTCGTGGGAAAATGTTTGTTTTAGTTTCTGCTGAAGGGAAGCAATATTGATCTTCGTGGGAAAGAAAAAAAAGCAACACAATCTCTTTACTGTGTTGTGAAGGATAAGCATGGAAAGAAACTTCACTGAAGGGCATGGGCTGTAAAGCTGAATTTCTGCATTTCTCTTTCTTTTTCCTGTAAAGGACCTGAAGAGTTGAAAAATTAAAATTACATGTTTTCAATGAATTTCATTGTTACTGTTCTTCAGTAACTTCCTAACAATTTATCACTTCCTCAATATTTATGCTGTTTATTCTTTATTGGGAACTACAACTGGACCTACAATTTAATGATATCCAACATATGGTTGTTTTGTTTATCTTCAGATAACAAACCATTTTTGCTTCATGAAGGACTACCAAAAGGAAAAGTTTTATTGTAAATCTCAAGTAGAGGAGCTTGCAGTCTAATTCAGTGGTGCACTTAAACGATTCATCCTAGCAGAGGAACTTGGCATACGGAATACTTCAGAGTTAGTGGAAGAAAAGTGCTGTAATGCCTAAACATAGTTCTCATTATAAAACCCTCTACTGTTGTTTCTGTTTAATAGGAAGGAAACAAAATTTCATTGCTTCACACGTGGATCACTGACAAGAAGAACATAACACTTTGCGTTCAGGGTCTGTAGGTCCTGTCAGCCGGGGATCTCAAAACAGTTTTGTTAAGGCACCTGTGATGAAAACTCAAGCTTGGTGCAGGCTTAGGAATCTTTGCAGTTTCAGTAGAACTTCTGCTGTGGAAAATATTTACATCTGTGCTAAACTAAATTCATTTATTTTGTCTTTGAAAGATCAAAATAAGAAAGTGAGTCTGCAACGTTCTCAGCTGTATTCATTTCCTGCCTGCCCCATGGGTATAGGGCTGGCATCTCTGATTAGTTCTATTTACGTATTACATACATCACTGTCACAATTAATCTACAGGAAGCTGATTTCTTAGTTGAACCACTTAGTGTTTACAACAAGCTCTCCATAAATGTATAGCAATGACATGGGTGGTCATTAGACAATTGCATTTTAATGACCAGCTTCCGGAAGACACTCACATGCACTTTAAAATGTGTTTTTTCAGTGCGGTATTCACAGGAAATGCTGAAGGCAGGAATGTACTCTAAATCCTGCCCAAAATATCCTACCGGAGTTGTGCGCTACTGCATTTATTTCTCTTACAGAAGCCCAGAGGGATTCCTCATGTGACAACCTGCTTATATTTTAAAAGAGAAAGATCTTATCAATCCATTCTAACAGTGCAAGCAACAGAAAGTATTTGGCTGAGCATTCTCTGGTCCTTCTGTGGAAGGTGCAGGAGAACCGAATGGAGAGACTATTGCTTAGTCATGCAAGAGGGCTGTGACTCCTGGCCCACTGAATATTAGCCATAAAATCAAACTCCCTACAGCAGACAAGGGATTAAAATCTGGTTTATATCAGAACTGAGTCTGCCATCACCAAACTATTGTGTGGTTTAAGCAGAGCCCTCATGTTGGGTGTCAGTCATGTCCTCACTCTGCTTTTCCAGTCAAGGATTCAGGCGTATCACAGGGATACTGCAGCACAGGTTGAACTACAAGGGCAGGCACTGCCAAACCTCCATAATGCAGAAGCCATGAGGAGTGTTTCATATTTAAAAGGCAGCTCTACAGGGAAAAGGGCTATCCCAGAGCTAGGGGAGCACTCAAAACTGGTTTTGAAGGTCACATCCAGGTATTTAGGATTAAATTAGGCAGGACCTAAGAGCTTACATTCTACTGTAAAGCCACCCTTGATGGCTGCACTGTTGCATTATGTGCTCCCTCAGTATAATATGACACTGATAGAGATACATCTAATTCTGCCTACTTAAAGCACAGCTAAGATTACTGCAATAATACTTTACTCAGCTTATATACTACATTTTATTCACTGTTACTTCTCCCTGATAGTGCATTGTTCTGATGTCGTGATTTAGCTGACGTAAGTAGTTCTAGGGTTTAGAAAGCAGTATGGTGGATTGCTCATCAGAGCAGTAAAAAATTTGGTACCAAAAACCTGAAAAATTAGCCTCA